GTCGTTAGATGTTTACATGGGATCGGGTTATATTTATACCCGAGATACATGACTGGTCCTTGCCGAACACGACTCTTATCTCTAACAAACTCTAAGATACGAACAAGTCTTCACGATAGACTCTTGCCGAAGCATATGTCTAAATAAACTTTTTAAAATATCCTAATTAATAGATACAATTGTCTATCCGTGTGCTTATCTCAATCATGGTAATCCTTGCACAGCACGTTGATCAATCTCGGAGACGATTATATAACCACCTTAACGAGATCAGCTACATCGGCTGTCTTCTGTCTGATTTAGCCGATGCAGTCTTCAGCCAATGCCCTCGTAGCCGATGCGTACTCTGTTTCCAGAAGACAATTCCCTATCAAATCCGCTTCGATCCCGATGCCGAATCTAGTTCATGGCTTACCAAATTTGATCGTTAACAGTGGCCTGGACATTGAACTGTTATTTTTTTTCACTCACAGATCTCCTCGCTGCCTTTTCTCTGGTACAGAACAAAAAACAAATTTCCTCACTGGGGGATTCCATCGAGCACCTACTACAGAACAAACATGATACCTAACAGAGTTTATATCCACAATTTATGGAAACAAACATGGTACCTATCCTAGTTCCTGGACAGGTTTGTGTGACTATAGAAGCATTAGTCTCTTCACGGGTTACATTTTCTTGACCTTGAGCAGCCTTTCCATGAGTGGGAATTACAAATAGAGAGCATGTTTAAGAAAATGGATGAAGTATTATACTTGCTTGTGGTGTCATTCGAGGGCACCAGCCTCACTGGGGCATCCGGACTGGCAACGGCGGCGATGGGTGTAGCGACCTGGGGGCATGGAAGTGAAGTGAGGAATCATGTGCATATATGTAAATCAAAAACAATATCATTTCAATGACAATGTGAGAATAAAAATAAAATAAATAGAAAATCTAGATTATCACAAGTGGAGCATCACAGGTGGTATGTAAAATAAAAATATAATTCTGTTGTTTCATTCATACGAAAATTTCACATGTCCATTTGCCATGATCAATAAATTCAGAGAGAAGTATTTCCTCTCATAACAGCACGACAATGACACTTCGATAGAAAAAAGAAATTCTTGTGAAAAAATCCACGTTTGTTTTCATTGTTCCATTTTCTTTTGAATAACCAAACACCATATTAATTTGCATTTAAGAAATTAACATAAAAGCCTGAGTATGGTCTGATATAAGATGCTTTCTTTAATGTGTAATACTCATAATATAAAGCTTATGTCAATTTAAGAACTATACATTAATGCAAGAAGAATTGTTGGTATGTGCAGACAAATAAAGGTTAGAATGTACTAATCTAAGAAAAGGAAATTAACATAGCACTCTTTGAAATTTGAAACAATAGGGATATGTCTCAATTTCTTAGATTATACATAGTTGGTTAGATGTTGCTCTGAAGAAAAATAAGCATATTTAATCATAAATAAACATAATAGACCATGCAGTTCTTATTCAATAGAACATATGCATCATGGGTTAATCCCATCTCTGTAGAAGCAGGTCATCAAGGCATATAAATACGAATTAACATTCATTGACAAACGTAACTAAACTCTGATTTTGCTTGGTGCCTATGCTTTCTTACCCTGCAATGCCATGATGTCCCTCTTATCTACCTTGACAACGACAAAATCCATTTGTTACTCCATAAACAAAAATAATAAACAAGATCATGATAAAAAGGAAGATGATCACCAATAAACCATCATTGTAGGCAATACATATGTCAATTGTCAAGTCAGTGTGTAGTACCATCACAGTTTTAGTCAATTAGCATAACTTCCAGTAAACAGATGAACAGAAATTGTGCGACAGCAAGGTAGTAGTAAGGTGGCTGCTGCTCCTCGCTGGAGTAGCCCTGATACCCCGAAGGAGAATGGTTTGGCAACAAGAATCTGAATCAATCAGGGAGTCAAGCAAAAACCTGGGTAGCCTCGTCATGGGTAGGATAGCCACCGCCAGGATCACCATTGTATATAAAGATCAGAAAGTTACCTCTATATTGGCCTTTGTTAGTGTCCTCTTCTCTCGAAAGTAATGAAAAAATACATAAAGATTTTGTTCATTTAAATTAACTAATAAAATGTGCATTCAAGGGAAAACCTATTTTCTAAATATCATGCCAGCACGCGCATCTACATTCAAAGGAAAGCAACCTAAGCCATTGATCCTGTTCACTTGTAAAATCTTGACAAATAGATATTTTAAATGACCATCAGAATCATGACAAGAGCTAGCTATATCGTTTGAAGATATATTATTTTCGTACCAACTATATCATTTTATGAATTGGGTCTGGATTTTTGAATTTATCCTAGTGATCGAATTGAAATTTTCTGTTTTTTGTGTGCATTTACATTCTTAAATTGATTGTTCAGGGTACTGATTTGTTGCTACTTGATTAGCCCGCAAATCTTATTGTTTTGGATACCATCAAGTGGCTAGAGGCTGGAGAGCTACCTTAAGACACAAGAAGTGTCGATAATCATCATTTCTCACAACAGGGCTTTTCTGAATTTGTGTGCTCTGTGATGACTGATGAAGCAATCTGAAATTCTGAATGTGTTCGCTGTCTGTACTCAGAAATTCAAAGAATGTGTATTGAGTTTGTAGTGTATTTGTGCATTTTTGCCAAAATCTGAGAATGTCTACAACTGGTTCATTGATCAAAACGTGAGCATAGGTATCTCTGATTTTTTTTGTCACAACCTGACCATGTAATTACTGCCATGATTCTGCAAAATGTGCAAATACATTATTCATCACTAATTTAATATAGTCCTAATGGCTGTGACTTATCTAAACTCATTTTTTTCAGTGATTGATTCTATATATGGACTGCACATCATAGCCATAGGTACGGCACCACTGGTATAATACTCCCTCCGTTTCACCATAAGTCATTCTAGCATTTCCCACATTCATATTGATGGTAAAGAATATAGACATATACATCTATTTAGATTTATTAGCATTAATATGAATGTGGGAAATGCTAGAATGACTTAAATTGTGAAATGGAGGGAGTAGAACATAAGGAGGCGATTGGAGGAAAGACTTAAAAGAACACCATATATAGCAGGATGAACAACAGGAAGATCTTTAGAAGTTATCAACGAAACATAGCCATAGGTTCGCTGGAATCAAAGAATTTTTTTTTACCTCCACGAGACGACCAGTTAGCTAGGATACCGCCACCTTCTCCTTCTCTTGATCCTCATTGACTTGCATAAAGTATGTACACTAGTAACATCGCTACTCATTTCTATTTCTATTTTCTCCAGTTACTCTCTGCCCCTATCTGTAGCTTTCCCATCAACATTACAAATGTGAAATGTGATGCCCTGTACATGGCCAAGGTGAATTATACTCTCAGAAATCTTTGGTGCCTAGCTAAAGAACAAACTCCAGTTTTCAGTTTTTCAATCAATTCCCCTCCCCCGTCCCACCCCCTCTCTCTCTCTGTGTTAAAATAAAATTCATTGCCGTTTCTGATCAAATACAAAAGAAAGGACAAATAAGAAGCGGAAGGAGCAAATCAAGAAGACGATGGACGTGACCTGGTGGCGGTGAATCGGCGACGGCGCTAGGGATGGATCGGCACGGGGCAGATGGGGCGACGGTGAATGCTCGACGACGAGCTTAGGGTCGGCGGCGGCGCCAATCTGGCGAGGCTGGAGGTCGGATATGGCCGAACTGGTGGAAGCGTGGACGACAAATGACGCGGGGCAGGTATGGCGGATTGGAGCGGCCATGCTGCGGGGCGAAGTCGGTGGCGGAGGGGACAGGGGCGCCGGGCGCAACGATGTGCGAGGGAACAGAGGAGGAGCGACGGGGCTGCAGCGGCTTGTAGCGGCCGCACCATGGGGCGAAGTCAGCGGTGGAGGGGGACGGGGGGCGCAGCGACGTGCGGAGGATGGCATGCGACGGCGGCGGGGTTACAAATTGCGTGCGTGCTTTTCTGCCAGTGAACCCGCGAGCGGCTCCGGCGGGCGCGCGCCCGGAGTCGGCGGCGGAGCCCGGTGCGTGCAAGGAGGCGGCGAGGTAGGGCGCGCGACTACGCGAGGAGGCGGCGAGCGGCTTCGGCAGGAGGCGGTCGGCGGCGGGCTGGCGAGCGAAGAAACTTTTTTCGTTTTCTTTTTCGCTTTGATCGATCCCTAACCGCTGTTAAGACGTGGGAGATCGCTAATTGCAGGGCAGATCCAACTCTTAGTATGAGCCGTTGGATGAATAGATCTAAGGATCAGAAAACATCTGATTTAATGAACTTACGTTTCATGCTTTGTATTTGGGTAGAAGCAAGAATTATGCCTGTGGTAGATGTATTTTGACCATGGTTCAAAATCTCATCTCAGTATATGTGATATTACTCAGAAGATTAATTGTTGAGTACTAAACTCCAACAAGGTATAGATTTTTCCTCAATTTCCGTTAGCACGTTTTTCAAACTGCTAAACGGTGTATCGTGCGAAAACTTTCTACATAGAAATTACTATAAAAAATCAATTAAATCTATTTTTCAAGTTTTTAATAATTAAAATTCACTTTTGCTACACTTAATATTCATCTTGTTAGAGAATCTAACGGAGTCTAAGGACGAGATTTGTTAGAGGATGGAACTGGATGTATATGTACTCGATCAGAAGTACGTCTGTCCACTATCTGGCCTATGTACCTACCTTTGACACGTATATATCTTGAGATGTGCGTACTTTCAAAAGGAAACAATTACTCCCACCTCAACAATTTTTTCCTGGTGTTTCTGCCATCGTGCTCGTGCCGTGAGCCAAAATCAATTCTGAATGACAGGAAATAAACAAAAAGTTAAAACCTAAATACATGAGATGGTACACGAGAATGCTTCATCTTCATAACTTGTCCCTACAATCCAATTTCCATCTGAACACGAATAGGAATCCTTCGTCTATATGATGCGACCATGTAGTGGCATAGAGTAAATGAAATTGTACCCGTTCGACCATATATCGATATGGGAGAATAGAGTAGAAGAGGTACACAGAATCAATGCCAGGTTTGTAAGAACAGATGACATTCAAATTTTAACAAATTCGCAATGGTTCATGAGAGGATAAATCATACAAAAATTCAGTTCAAAAAACAGTCCATTGGGTACCTCCATAGCTCATGTGCCAAAATTCGGATCAGCCAAAAGAAAACACTGGCATCTTTGCCAGCTCAGGCAAACACTCCTGGTATAAAATGAAGAAATGTGAATTTCTGTTTGCCGATCGCCTCAGCCCTGAAAAACCAGAGCAATTTGCAATGCAGGCTGTAATAAGTTCTCATGATCCTTGTCCTTGACAGAGGACGAAGTGACTTATTTCTTTCGCTTAACTTTTAGAATTCTTCTTGCAGACTTTTCACTGTTGCCACCAGTAGTGCCTATTGAGAAGCCACCTGGGGATGATTGACTATGCTGGCCAAATTGGAACATGCCCGGTGAAGCGGATGTAGCTGAAGCAAACTGAGTTGCTGGCGTACTAAACAGAGTTGGAGTGGATGGTGAACTGCTTGGAAGACCAAAGGGTGAAGCTGCTGAAAAAGCAAACGGGTTCTTGTCCCCAGCCATCTGACCTCCATTCATCTGATCAGTTCCTGTACTTAAACCAACAGTCGGGCTCGGTGTACCAAAAAGTGGTGTTGTAGGTGATGCATTTGGTATCGTAGGCGTAGCTGAGGTAAATGAGAATACAGGGCTCGAGGTTGAGCTAAAAGGTGAAGTGGCAGGGGAGCCAAAAGGTGGAGCATTTGTGCTAGTTAAACGGTTGCAAAAAATTGGTGAAGATGCTGAAGCAGGTGTTGCAGAAGTAGTGCCAGAACCAACTGCTAACGAAAACACAGGGCTTGAGCCTGGTGCTGATGAACCAAATGCAAAGCTTGGCGAGCTCCCAGGATTTACTTTTTCTGAAGATAATAGGTTTGAATTGCTTGTTGAAGTCTGTGCAGATAGTGAATTGCTAAATTGGCTTCCAGACAGCAAAGTAGACTGAGAGGAGACTGAATTGGATTTGCCCTGGCCTGCAAACGGACTTGTACTGCCAAACTGTGGAGAGAAACTAAAAGGGGCACTGCTGCTTGCTGCCTTGGATTTGTCTTGGCCAGCTAATGAACTTTCACTGCTAGATTGAGAAGAGAATTGGAAGGGAACACTGCCACTGGTGGTGATGGAACTAGATTGAGAAGTAGCACCAGCAAATATCATTGAGGATGGCGATGAACTGCCCCCAGCTAAACTACTCACAGTGCTGAATGGAGCTGTTATAGCAGGCTCTTGAATACCGCTAGATTGCACTGAAGAGGTTGATGTTCGGAATCCAGGCTGAAATGAGAACTTTGGGAACGAAGGTGTTGAAGAGCCAGCATTTGTAGAACAAACTGACTTGGTTGATCCATTGGAAGGAAATACAGCAGCAGAAGCAGATTTTGTTGTATCTGCCAGGCCATTGCTTAAGGTTGTTGGTTTTGAGGAGATGACGTTAAATACTGGATTACTAGTGAAAGAAACAATTTGCCCAGAGCTTTGAGAAATTGGTGGTTTATCTGTATTCGACTTTGTATCACGTTGGTTAGAAACTGAGGCTTCTTCTGAAACTGGTTTGAAAACCCTGGAGAAAAAGACATGTCAGATTAATGTGCTGGAAATAAGTGAGTATCCTCATAAATTGGAAACTGAAGCATAATTGGCATGTGTCAGACTACCATATCTCAACTATAAAACGACAATCAAGTCAAAAAACACTATAAAATGATAACATAAGTACTTATGTGTTAACCTACTTGGTAACCATTGCCCATTTTCATTGCAAAGGTACTTCAAATTTAAAACTATGCTTTTGACTGTAACTACATCAGTTCAAACAACCGATCAGAAACTAACCTTGGAATACTTTCCACTGAAGTAACTGGTGCACTAGATGATGCAGACAGCTGCTGCTTCTCAACAGATAGTACAGGTGGAGATGCCAAAGTAGGTGTTGGAGGGGCCTGAGAATGGCCAGTCAGAGCAGCCGGAACCGGGAATGAAAAGCCATTTGATGATGCTAGGATTTTGTTTCGGTCAATTTCACTGGATAATACTAGATTTGAAGGAGCATGACTTCTCAAAGGCAATGTTGGAGGTTTCTCCTTGTTTATTATTCCAGAACTCATATCATTATTCTCTGGGATTGGTGATTGCTTTCTCTCAGTTTTATCATTTCCTTGGTTGAGTGACAACTTTGTACTTCCCCTACAGTTATCCATCTCCAACCAATCCTACAATAAAGAAAATGTCAGTATGTTGATAAAATATTATGTACCCTAGGAGGAAAAAGGTGCCATCCAAACATTACCTTGGGCATCAATTTAGCTGATTTGTCAGATGTAGCATCAACAGTATTGCTGTCTTTTGCGGCGGAGGTAAATTTAGCAGCGCAGTTGGAGTTATTAGGTAAAGACTCCTTAACTCGTGACGAAGATGGTTTCAAAAGACTGCCCTGTGCTGATACTTCAGTTTTCTGAGAAATAGGATCCTCAACATCTAAGATGTCCACATGCTTTTGCCTTGTTGCTAATGTGCCTTCCTTCTGTGAAGGAATTATCGTATCAAGCTGCTTCAATATCTTTGCAGCCATTTGAATTGACTGTGCTGGTGCCTGACCAAAACTGCTATCATTTGCTCTGTCATGTACACCACTTCGAGTAATATCACCAACTTTATCCAGACACCTACGTTTTTGACTTTGTACTGAGTGTTCCAAACCTTCATCAAGTTTGCTAGCATGACTACCACTATATCCACGGTGGCCTGACCGAGTTTGCAACAGTGGTGACACTCTGTTGTACCTCTGATGCATTTTGCGTATGGGACCAACAGAGGCACTCTCGTTATTGAGAGCAGCACTCTTCCTCTTCAGAACCTGTTGATTCATTATTAACAGTAAATGTTACATACAAGGTAGCATCAAATCTAAGCAGGTAGGACAGCAGCAAAGAACATTAAGTGGACTGTAGCCCACAAGTAAATTATGTAACCATGAAAATTTGCACAGGTATCCAATTCAAAATAATTATTAGGCATTTAAACAATGTTATGCACTATTGGTCATTTAACATAAAATATATATTGTCCAAATACTGTGTCACTAACTGCTAGCAATATATAAACTGTAAATCACATCCTGGAAATTAGTGTTTGCTATATTTATGCATTCGGTAACTACAATAGTAGGGTAAAACCTTAAGGTAGTGCAAACAGTGTAAATGCAGGGCCTGAAGAAGTTTAAGGTAAACAGTGCAAACAGTGGTGGATGCAGGGCCTGAAGACACTTGTAGGGACACCAGGCCTCACCATCACACAGCAAAATGGAGGGCATGTCATACCACTAGCGCTTGATGACGCCAGATGCTAGCTGAAGTTGTTTTTGCCCAAGTCTAGAAAACTTCTAGGTACACCACTAATTGCCAACTACTATTACCAATTTACCATGATTAAAGAGGGTTCAAGAAAACATATTCCAGAGTCGTCTAGTTTATCTTTAGATTTCAAAATAATAGCTTGTGTTTTACGCATAAAATAGGCAGCATCCGATCAAAAAAATCTGCAATTAACATTGTATCGTGTACTTTAAAGCAACAAAATTATGTGGTGAGTCAATCAGTGATCAATATTGAAGGTCCAAACATTTCATGTCATAAATCATTCACTAATCAAACAAAGAAGCCAAGATAAAAGTCATGCAGTAGCAGTTCAACATAAATCCAGAAGCCGGTAATAAACCCAAAACAAATTTACAGCAAAATAAGATTATGTTTCGTGATTAATACCTGCCTTCCAAATGTATGAAGGCTGCTTGGAGCCTGATATGGAGATACAGTACCAAACAAATCCCTGGAAGAAACAGCACTCTGAACAGATTGAGGAACTTGAGTTAGAGATGTAACCACATAGTAACAGAGATAGGGTATTGTGCTCAAGAATGAGAATAAAATAAGGCAGTATGTAGAGCACTAGCTAATTGCACATGTTTTCGATAGAAAAAGAACAATTATAAAATTTCTAATATTGCTTAAAACAAATAAACTGATATTTGTTCGCTAAAAGACACATTTGGCATTGTTCACACACACTAATTAAATTTAACTCATATACTAGATATACATACGACAACTTGGTCACCTTGGACCTTTCCATGTTAAATTGTGATTTTAAGAGGCCAAATAAGAAAATAATGTATGGAAGGTTTATTTTCTACTAATGAAATTCAGAGAGAGCAACTGCAACAGCGTGGTAACATAATACTTGAATCAAGGTAACTTGATGATTGCCATGCTGCACTAAACAGATTGATTAAGGTGTAATACATTTTTAGTTGTCTCTTTGAGTTTCTCAAGTAGTCTGTGGCTACCTATTCAATTTTTCTATTTAACAAATATGCAAGATCTGATGTACTATTGTGCTCTTTGTGCAAATACATAACAGAAATACTGCGGGCATAAAGTAATTAGACATTAAATGAAGTAGGAAATAACAGAACCTTAAAATAAGGAGATGATGACATTTTGTATATTGCTGATCTATTTGGTGTCGTGTAGTTGCTCCCAAGACGATCAGAGGTGGTTGGAGCATGATTTCTTGCACTCGCGAGCAGAGAGAGGGTGGGAGGCCTCGTTATTTGTGTTGTATTAGCTTCTATCGATTTGGAAAGTACAGAGGGGTCATGCAATCTAAGACGTAATGGTGATCCCTTAGAAGATCTTGAACCCATGTATGCCTTTGCAAGTTCTGCAGGTGAAGCAACTTGATCCTGCAGGAATGAATAGCATGAGATTATGTTACCCTTGTAGTCACGGAACATATGGCATATCAATGGTATAAACAACAAATGTGTCAGGAGATAAAATAGTTCATGGTACGAGCTTTGCTATTTTGTGGCAAATGTAGATAGAATCGCAAGTGAAACTCATGTAGGAATAGAAAAAAGAAGTATGTGTACCAGGGACTACTAAAAGTTGGGTTTCTAAAGTCGAAAATTGCACATATAGGCCCCTAAACATGTGTATGTGCATAAGTACAGGTTTAAACCATGCCTAATAAGCAACTACAGACCACTTATACAAGTATACCAAAAAAAAAAGTAGGATGACTTTGTTGACCCACTTATACAATTTTATGTACCCACTCAAATCCAGAGACCCAAGTGACCTGCAAAAATTTAGGGAATAAGGGGGACCTATGATATGCTTTCCTCAACTTCGAAAAAAAAATAACAAACTATTCTGCTGGTCAAGGGTTTTAACTCAACAATATGCCATATCTCTACTATTATAAAAATTGAAGATGTTTTTGCCGGTATTTTGGTATGTCATCCGGGTTTGAGTCGGTTTTTAAGTTCGTTCACTTTTAGAAATACAGATCCGTGTTTGAGTTGGATTTTAAGCTCATTTGCTTTTGGAAATACAGAAGGAGTCGTATAAGAAATATCATTAAAAAAACTCGCATGCTAACTTGAGATGATATACGGACTCTTGCAGCTTATGATTTTCAAAAAAAAATATCCAAGCGAATTCCCACAGTGAATTTTACCCTAGCTAAACCATATAACAACAATAAAATTAAAATAGCATTTACCCATTGCAACGCACGGGCATTTTTTCTAGTATCTTAAAAATAAGAAATTATATTGTTGCTTCAACACTTTAAATTATGTTCTGTACAGTACAGTATGGGTGATTGTAAAAGAAATCAATTTCATCATATGAACAGGAATATTTAGTGAGCAACATGACTTGCGTATTAACAGAAGTGTTGAATGTTCTAAAGGAGAAATCAACAGGTAAGTCTCCAGATCGACTTGCCTTCTCAGGAAAATGCATTTTCTTCATATTACCAACTCCTGGAATCAATAATTTGGACCCAACCGTTCTAGATAACAACAACTCAGACAAATATTCAAATTCACTCCTGCAAGACAGAAAATTATTTGTAAGATAGAAATATGTTTTCGCATTTCTACTGTACACTTGGACATTAGCAAAACAAATTTGCAAGTTACAATGCAATAGGCAAAACAGGTATTCACAACAATAGGATCTAGCAAAGAAAACATGGCATTGCACTTCAACTCATACAGAAGCATGGAAGTATTAAAGGATAAATGAGGATTGAACTATCAAGAAGATGTGTTCCCCCAACTGCATTGCTACTCCATACAAATCATGTACGCAAATCATATACAACTGCAGGCTGATGCATTAACTGCTACAAAGAAAATGCGAACTTCTTTTTCTATGCAGGATGTATCAATTTTCTTAGTGTTCTCCAATGTATACCAGCCTAAATGGAACTACAATAAAGTAAGTTAATTGTGATGAGCATTGAGCCAAAAGGCTGAGGGCCATAAGCAGCCCATATAGAGATAAGATTATCAGTCAAAGATTAGATTGAGTCCTTACTTAAGGATCAAGTTATATAATCTATATAAGGATGGGATTGTGTCTATTATCATTAAGCAATGAATCAGATTAGTATAATTTCTTTCCTTAATATCTTCTTATCCCTAGTCTAAATATACATCCCTTCTCCAATAGCCGGCGCCGCCCGGCTACCCTCCCAGTGGTGGTTATGCCATCATGGCCTCGGTTCATGACATTAACAATGAAGTATAACTTCACCACAGAAAATTGGTCTCGGTAAGTGAGAAAAAAAGAAGGGAGAAGGTACAGGAGAGAATGTGGTAGCATAAACAAACGTATGAGAAAAAGAAGACACGGGTAAGAAAAATTATCTAAGGTAACAGAACCTTCCAGAAATGTCAATGGTATTTTCTACAACTAACTAATACCAAAGTAAATGCCATACAACTGTCCATTTCTTAGTTCCCAGCTTTAGAACTGAAGTACACTTCTTTTTCTCCTAAAAAAAGAAAAACCAGTTAGGGAAACCCATGTTTTCTATAGCCTCATGGTTTATATTTTCTTGGTCACATAGAAATTATTATTAGTACAAATCATTTCATGGTAATAGTGTGATGCTGTGTTATGAACTTCATGGATGTACCCCATCATTGCAGATCAAGTTCAGTTCCTTAGGTGTATGCTGTATTTGGGGTATTATGCAATTAAAAGATATATCGGCGGTACCTATGCCTACCAGTTACTGAAATGCTAGCAACAAATCTAATACTGCTCAAATTACTTGCTAAACATGAGCCTATTAATGTTATACAAAAACAGGTACTTGCCTCGTGAATGTCCTCTGTTTCAATAGTTCTTCAAGATCCATAACGTCATAGCTATCAGACCTTCTAAGAATGTCATCTCCATCTTTGGCAGAATTCTGAGGATTGACAATGGACAGATTCCACATATAAAGCAACATGTGTTTAGGAACTTGATCATATGGAAGATTCAATAGGGTATCAAGGTAAAATAAGTAGCACTGGCACTGGACAAAAATGTAAGTGTGTAACTTAAGAAGACTTCATATGGTTACACATGTTATCTTATTATCCATTCAAAGAAGTATCAATTAATAAATCTTGCAAGAATAATAACGACCATATATTTCAAGTGAAAGAGGTTAAATTCTACCGGCTTAAAATAGAAGTCAATGTTTTAATTTCTATATAAACTTATAGTGCTTAAAAAAGCATAGCAAACATCTAACCATGATAACTAGTAGGTTATTATCCGACAAGTACAACGTGGAATACGCAAATTTACAATATGCATTTACAGAGCCAGCTTACATTAGCCACGGTTCCGGTGCCCTCTTCTTCTTCTTCCGGAATGTCATCTTCTGTGTATACAAACAACAGGAAACTTTGTAAGTTTGCCAGCAGTCACTAACAACACGTGAACCGACAATCGCCACTTTGTATGAAAGCATCGATTACGCCGTCATCCCCCAATCGTCGGAAGAACGGACAAAATAAACAACAGCTACTACATAGTAACATAGCTAAGAGTCCATATGCAACGCAACATGCCGATCTACATTGATTGAAGCTACTAAATTAATCGACTACAGAGATTTAGAGTTGGTTTGGCCTATGCGAAATGATTGCACCAAACTGCACAACATCACACAACACCAACAGGGCCCCAACAAAGCTAGCGGCGAACGCGGTCAAACAAACCTAGAGGCGGAGGCGGAGGCGACGGCGGAGTATCGAGCGTCTCCGCCTGCGAGGGCGCCTCCTCGAGCAACTCGGGCAGCGAAGGCGGCTCGCCGAGATGCTCCCGCTCCCGCTCGTGCTCCGGCTGCGGCGGCGGCGGCTTGCGGAACACGGAGGGCAGGAGGAGCGAGGCGCCGCTGGCCACGAGGCGGGAGAACCACCCGCCGCTGCCGCCGCCGCCGCCGCCGCCGCCGAGGCGCGTCGCCGCGGATGCGGGGGCGGGGCGCGCGTAGGGCGAGGCGGCGGCGGCGCGGGACGGGGGGCGCCTCCGGATCTTGCCTCCGGCGCCGGAGCCGCCGTCGTAGGCTCCCCGGGAGGCCATGTGACGGCGCCGATGTGGAGGGGAAGGCGGGGTTAGGGTTTCGGGGATCGCGCGCTCGCGGAGGGCTAGGGTTTTGGGAGAGGCGAACGAATAACCGGGGGAAGAAGAGCCCCGTGGGGGACGGAGGGGGGGTGGGGTGGGATGGTGATTACAAGGAGTTTCAAGGGGGTTAAGTGGTAAACGTTTTTTGAGGGCTCTTCCTTCCTGACGGCTTCGTACTTTCGTAGGTAGTATGATGAACACGCGCAGCGATGTGTTCCGATTGATAATTCCCTTCTCTGCAAGGTTTGCCTTCCTTATCATTTGAACGGTTTCTCTTTACTTCCATAATAATTCACGGCAGAAATAGAATTGGTATTTTATTTTTTTTATGCTTGGTAGTATATTTGGGACATAAATTGCCAAAAAAATGATATTTTGAATCTTCCACAAAACTTGTTATATAAATGACCTATGATAAAAACTAGGGTTAATTGGATCCATGCTATTGTAAATGTATCAAATTAGAAAAATACCACTACTATTTACGATATTGGCTAGGTGCCGCTGGAATTTTGGGAAATTGAATCCATGCCATCCCGTCGCCTTTTCCGTCGTTCCCCCGTTAATTTCCTAACTCTATGGTCCGTGCCGCCGTGGGGGCTGCCGGGACTAGACGCCATCACCGGGACATCGTCTTTGTCGCCGTCAAACCGGAGCACGCCGGAGCAAGCCATGGCGCCACCGTCGTCGCCTCGACGTCCTCTTCAAGAAGCCTCAAGAACCTCAGCCGGAGACACGGGGAACGGGGAGATCGGCCTTCATCTTCTTCACCTCCGGCGCCGTTCCCATCGTTGATTTTCACAATGCCGGTTGCCGCAGCTGCGGGCCTCGTTCCTCGCGCGGTTGCCGCTATGCATTACCACCTTTCTCGTCGGACGCCGTTGAGGAAGAGGAGCTCATCCTCGCCGTGCATCTCCATGTCCTCCACGAGCAGCTCTCGTCCTCCATGGACTGCGTGCATAGTGGCTTGGTCAGGGAGAGCCCCGCCGACGAGCTAGTCTGGTGGCTCGCCGCCTCGGCTCCCCCGGCGACCACCACTTACGGTAGCGACGGTACACACAACAGCAGCAGCACAAGGCCGCCGCGGCGCAGCCCGCCCCCAACGACGGCGCGGCAGTTGACGATTCGGGGCGACGCGGCGGGTCGCGGGCGGCACTCCGGCGCGCTCCGGGAGCGGGAGCAGGAGCAGCAGCAACGGAACCCCGCGGCGGCACTCCGGCGGTGGCGATGGCATGGGGAGCGAGAGCAGCAGCGGGCGAACGCCGTGCCGTCGCTGCCAAGCTCGGCGCTGACGCGCGTTGTACACGCACAGCGATGTCACTGTCAAGGCGGATGTTGCCGCGACCGTTGACCTCGCCATTACGCGCCACGGCCGCCTCGACGTCCTCTACAGCAACGCCGGATCATAGGAGCACAGGCTCCGGACTCGCTCGGCGTGCTCGACATCGACGAGTACGACCGCGTCATGGCTGTCAATGCCAGGTCCATGTTCGTATGCGTCAAGCACGCGGTGCGTGTCATGGCGGCATGGTGGCGTGGATGCAGCCTCTGCACGGTTAGCACGGCGGCATGGCGGCCATGACGCCGGCCGGCAACTCCGCCACTCCGCCTCCTCGACCTGTTGGCTCTGCCGTCCGCGACGTCGGCAAGCTGCTGTTCAACCACTCGGCGTCCGTCTCCATCCTCGCCGGCCGTGGCCGCAGCCGCTCCCCGCGCTCGCGACGTCCTCGCCGGCGGCCGCCTCGTCTTCTTGCCCTCGCCGTGCCTACGTGAGATTAGAGGATGACGACGTGAGAGAGAACGACAGAAATAGTGACGGAGTGGCATGGTTTCAATTTTAAAAATTTGTAGTGGCACCTAGCCAATAAAACAAATAGTAGTGGTATTTTTCTAATTTGCCACATTTACAGTGGCATGGATCCAATTAACCCTAAAAACTATAACAAAAATATACCAAAAAGCTCATAGCTCGTGACTAACTCGACTCGGCTCGTTTGTATTTATTAACGGGCTAAGCCAGGGTTAGCTCGTTTGCTATAACGAGCGAGCTCAAGCTGGCTCGCGAGCTAAATGAGCCATGGAAAAACAAAGCAGCCCAGGAGTGCTGAGGTGGATCGCATTGTTATTTGTAGGCCTAAGGCCCATCAGATCCACTGATTTCCACTAAACCCTAGTTATATCAAATAGATCGATTGATTTCCCCATTCCCCAATCTACAGCGCACGCTGTTTCTGTCCAGTATCACATCGCCATAGTGTCGCCCAAGCCCTCACGCCGGCATCGTCGACGACCTGGCCGTCACCACCAGCCTCTAGGGGGCAGCAACAGCGTGGTTTGTGAGCTCACGGTGCCGCGCTTCCTCTCGTCGCCGCTCCAGCCGGTCGGCCAACTCCGTGGCAAGCGTGGCCTTGTCTCAGTCTCGTCGTCGTGAGGAAGACGAACAAGCAGGGTGAAGGTCCCCTGCTGCAGGATGCAAGAGCATGCAACTCCATCGACAGCGCTACAAGTTATAAATCAAGGAGCAAAAGTTCAATCTTGCCGTCCTCGTCGCCGTCGGCAGTTCGGCACTTCGGCAAGTCAATCTCCCATGTTAATTTTGGTTGGTCTAGGATTCACTAGGGTGTTTGCTTGGTGTTTTGTTTGGTTCCAATATGACGAGACTTTCAGATCTGTTTTTATGGATGCAATGTGTAAAAAAAAATTTGTGCCAAGTCTTTGTGATTTGTCGGTTGTTTGATTTCTTAAGCAATTGCAAAAAAAATTGTTGGCAGCCAGAATCTCGAAGTGAGAGATTTCTATTGAGTCACGGATGTATTGGCTCGCGAGCTAAACAAGCTAGCTAGAGTTGCCAGTCGAGCCGAGTTAGGATTCGGCTCGTTATCCTAACGAGTAGACCGAGCCGAGTCATGTCAGTATCCACCCCTACCCTTGATGTTGAAATTAGAAGCTTAGAGCCTGTTTGAAAAAGCTTTGGAAAACTCTATTTTTTCCCTGAATCGAAAACTCCCAAAATAATTAAGTTTTTCATTCATATAAGCTAGAAGTCAGAAGTTGAACTCAATTTTTTGCATATTATCAGAAGTTGGGTATCAACCAGCAGCTTCTTAAAATCTTTAAACTCTCCAAACGAATCCTTAGCATCATATATTTTGGCATCGAGTAATACACAAACTAAAAAATTATAAACCAAAAATAGATTTCTATCTCAGCGTCATGGGTCATGGTGTTGAGGCCCACTATCATTGTTTCTAAATAAGGTGTGAAGGTGCTAGGTCCAAACCCACTTCCACTATCTTGTTTTTTTTCGCCACTTCAGAATCTGCGTTATCGTTGTTTTTTTGCCACTTAGGAATCTGTTCCGTCTTGTTTTCTTTTTTCTTCAGCACTTCGAAAGAAAAAGGAAACAATATTGCAGCGATAAAGATTCAAACATTGATCTCCAAGATAATACAGACACCATTTATCACTGCAGTACGCATGCTATAACCTGCATTTGCGAATTTCCTAATTAGCGCAGACGCGCTAACTAGCCATCTAGCGTGCGTTTTAGGCCCATGTCCTCGTACGTGATTTCTCTTCGGCCTACTTCTATTTCTGTTTTTTGCGCGAGGGAACACCGGGAAGCGTGCTCAAGTGCGCTAGATTCGGAGAAAATAATCAAGATTATATTAGTTGACGGAATTAGTTTCCGATAATTATGTTTTTTAATTAATCTTTCCTTTTTTTTCATGAGGTTGTATTTTTTAACTAAAGATTTAAAATATATACGTGAAATTTAAAACTTTTTATAGATGAAAAATTAAAAGTCACAACCATAATTTAAAACAACTCAAAATTTAAACTTTCAATTTAAAATTTAAAAACTTTTAACTCAAAATTTAAACTTTTAAATCAATTTCGAAAACTTTCATCTCGAGTTTTGAAGACTTTCGACCCGAATTTGAAGACTTTCAACTCAAAATTTGAAAACTTTCAAGTCAAATTTGAAAACTTTCAACCCAAATTTGAAAACTTTCAACCTAAATTTGATAACTTCCAACTCGAGTTTGAAAGCTTCCAACTCAAATTTCAAAACTGTCAACTCGAAATTGAAACTTTCAAGATTTTTTTTTAAAACTTTCAACTCAGATTTTGAAAATTTTCATCATATTTTCGAAACTTTCAACTTAACTATTTATGTATTATTTTGATAATAAAAACTATAACTAGATTAATCCATATGGTTAGCGTTGTTATTAGTGCTAATGACGCGTGGCTGTAGTGGACCCACACGCTTAACCTCCCCTGAAGCGATGCGGAACAGAAAAATATACAAAACGACGAAACAGGAGGAAGTTACGGAAGTGCGCGCTACAAAATTATCTGGCGCGTCTGCGCTAACTAGGAGCCCCCCCGCATTTGTGCCTATTATTGTTTTCGTAGTATATTCCACGGTGTTAAGGTGTTGGGCCTCAGCGTCAAAGCCCGTGGTGCTTTGGCATTGTAGTAAAGTTCCATTTCTAATTATGTTTATGTTAAGGTCTAGTCAAAATGTCTGGCATAAATCACTCCTATGTCTAAAGAAACTGGTTATTTTATCACTAGACATTTTATTCTTGTGACCTTCCACATGAATAATAATTAGCAAAAAAATACGAACACCCGTACTGTTTAAGAATTTGAATCTAAATGTGTAGATTTGACTATAAAAAAAGTTATGCTCAGTTCATGTTCTCTCGTTTTATTTTATATCCATGATAAATATTGATTATCCGTATCAGTAGCAGCGTCGTTTCAACTTGTCGGTAATTTAGTAGTGTCCACTAGAATTCAACTAGCGTATGGCATGATCAAACACTAGACTTATCCAATTTGTCCGCTTTTGATCTGCAAGCTACATTGTTTTGGCTATTTTCCTTTTTATCAATAGACATTATCTTGGGTTAGCACACTAATATCATTGTACCACCTTGTGCTTAATTAATTTCAATTTCAAGCTTCGCTGTATGGCCATATCAAGCTTAATAATATCAGTATTATTTTTTGTTGTAAACATTATCCTGTTATGGTCATACGAAAAATGTTGTTATCATCTCAACCATGATCTATGGTAGCGCATCATTTATTAATCTCTGCTCTTACATAGATTTCGAGTATCGTAATAAACTTGTCAAAATTACATGTAAACTTACAAAAAGAAACTTGAAAAAGAGAGAATCTACCAAGTTCCGAGCAGATAGTACTAGTAGTACTTGCATAGAGCAGGTACAATAGCAAGCTATAAACCAACTATAACCACATATCGAGAAGAAAAGAGAAGAGTGAGAAAAAAGCGAGCTACAGATTTGTAGCCGGCTGTAACACAGACTCTAAGACGTTATGTGTATATTAGAGGTAGGACAGAGTATTAATGGAGTAGTAATCATAAAGGAAGTCGTTTTGGACAGCAACACGGTCTTCAAAACACAACTTTGACCTATTGTTTCTATTCCTTTATGGATAATGTTTAAGTCAAACCTTGGGAATATAAATCATAAATAACTCTCAAGTTATTGAGTTTGAAAATGTAAAAATTATATGAATAGATTTGTCTTGAAAAATACTTTCATAAAAGTATACATATATCACTTTTCAATAAATATTTTTATAGAAACAATAGGTCAAAGTTGTGTTTTAAAGACCATGTCGCTGTCCAAAATGACTTCCTTTATGAGTACCGAGGGAGTAACTATTATATCCAACTAGGTGAAACCCGCGCATTGCTGCGGGAATTCAGTATGATAACAATAAAAAAAATAACATGTAAAATAGCTAGATAACATCAGATTAAATAAATTAATGTAGTTTATGATAATTTAAATTTATATAGTATGTAGAATGGTGATTCAAATGTAAAAAGTAAGCTAGTAGTAGGGAGATAGTTTGGACCGTAGATTAATTATCTAAAGGCTAAAAATAATTGATGTGATATGACTTAATTAGAGAAAAAAAAGGAGAAAAATAATTTGGACCATAGATTAATTATTTAAGCACAAACTAAGGATGAACTATATAAGTATATAGGATATCATAAAACATAATAAAGATATACATTGAAACATTATGTGAATTATATTGGATGATAATTTAATATGTTTGTATTTAAAAAACTCTTAAATTATAAAAACTATAAAGATATAGTATGTTTGCATGATGTTTAAATATGATGATTGTTAGTGGATGATGATGTGTCATCTTGTTAATTAGTGGATAATGATATGGTATCTTGTTAGTAGATGATGATGTGGCATCTTTGCATGTCAAGCTTAAGAAGTTAGTGGGGGATAACTTTATAGAAAGATAGGATGACTAGAGTATTAGATTAGATATAAATGATTTAGAACCAACAATTGGTTATATTATTGGACTTGCTCTTAACGTCCACATAAGCCATGATGGGATCTAAACCAAAGCCATTAAAACCAACACACCTCCGCACTAGTTTTTCACGGGAGAAAGCTACCAGGGGCCCCACCTGTCAACCACCGAAACCCACACAAAATACTTGGCTCTCAACTCAACCGCATATCCCCCCCTTCTCTCCGCGCCGCCGCCGCCGCCGCCGCTCGCCGGACTTACCCGCATCCGCACAGAGGCGCCCCCGCCGCAGAAAGCCCCACATGTGGCGCCGACCCGGGCAGCTCCGCCTCCACCTCGCGGCGGCGGCCGGAGCCGCTGGCCGCGGCGCCAGGAGGAGGAACCCGCTTCCCCCTGTCCCCACCGTGCCCTCCTCCTCCTCCTCCTCCTCCGCCTCTACCACCACCACCCGCGATCTCGCAGCCTTCGCTCGGGGCTCCTCCTCCTCCTCCCGGAGCCTCTCGGACCGGGCAGGGGGAGGCGAGTGCTGGAGCTGCGGCGCGAGCGGCGCGTTCCTCTCATGCGGGTCCTGCGGCAGCGTGCAGCCCGTCGACCCCGCCGTCGATTATTTCCGGATCTTTGGCCTGTGAGTAGCATCCCCACTTAATCAGATGCTAATTGGCTCATTATTGTCTTTTGTTTGTGAATGAATCGTGTCGTCTCTTTCGAATTCTAGTGTATTTTGGGTATAATTGGATTGTGCAGTGATCGTCATAACTGCTCAGCTCGTAGGCATTATGTATTGCAATGCTGAAATGCTACTTGTACAAGGACGGTTTCTATGTTCTTGGGCCTTCTTTGTATCATCTGCAGCGCAAATAAGTGTTCGTAGCTTGATGGGTTATGCAGAAAGGGAAACTGGACACCAGCTTTAGCTTTTATGGTTAGGACGAAAATTATCCTACTGGCAATTTTGATGTGATTGCGATAATAGGACTGGTAATTTGCAATGATTGTTACAAGATATGTGCATTTTGATGCGACTCTTAGGTTGGCCAAAACATGTTGTCATTTTAGGGAAATTTCTAGGGCAATGCAATTATGTTAGTATAATGTTTGATTGTTGATGCACTGATCTGTAATATTAAAAAAAAGAATTATTGGGAGGTGGAATTGGGATTAGCTGGATATAGTTCGAAGTTCATATTCCAACTTGCTCTATCCACCAATCCTACCTGGGGGAATATGTCTGCATAGTTTATTATGCTGATAAGTGATAAGTTCCCTTCTATTCATTTCCATGTTGGCTGTTTAGGTAATAACGCAAGTAGTTTGTTTGGTGATGGTTTCGTGATTTTCTACCTATTTGCTTAATGCTTATAATTTATTAAATTTCCAAATCTCCCCTTCAGAAAACTCGTGAGCGTTTCAGTTGGATAGTCTTGTATCCACACTGTATATTTTGTCCACCCTAAGTGTTTGACCTCTCCTGTAATGATATGGCAAATTCACAATTTGTTCCAATGATCTGCTTCATGATAAATACAGTGGTACCATCATGGTAATCACGTTATGAATTTTACTCTTAAAATAATATTTTCAAAATTTTCTACAATTGCATAAGTTTCTGTCAATATTTTCTATGCCTTAATCATACATCAATAATTTACTTCATTACTTTGGCAGAGAAAGGGAATACACCATAAAGGATAACAATTTAGAAGGGAAATACAAAGACTGGCAGAAGAAGTTACATCCTGACCTAGTTCATTCTAAATCTGAGGTCTCTCCCTAGGCCCTGGCATTCTTACCAATCTATAGTATTCGTACCTTTGTCTTCAAAACAATTTGTGACTTGGCTTCTGTTTTGTGTAGAAAGAGAGAGCCTTTGCTGCTGAGCAATCAGCACTTGTAATTGATGCATACCGCACACTGAGCAAACCTTTGTCAAGGGCATTATACTTGGTAAGTTCTTCCAGTAATACTTAAAAAATACAGCCTATTTCATCTCATTTTAACCCATATTAGGTTATGATTATATGAGGCTAAACCATCTCCATCTCCACTCAAAATAATATAAAAAATATACTTGACCTGTAAACATATGACCTTTTTTACATGGAACATCTATGTAAGCATCCATCTACATCATCTTTTAAATTGCTTCTCAACCATATAAAACCATTCTGCAGCTCCAACTAGAGGGGATACCCATTGATGAAGAAAAGACTATCACTGATCCTGAACTTCTTATGGAGGTAACCTGTTTGAATCTTTTTTTCTGTGGTTCTGATGCAGCCACTTAATCACTAGTTTATATATTTCCATGACGCTTGTGTCAATAACTTCACACAGAAGTAATAGTAATTGCGATGACATGTATATTTCAATTCAAGATCAATTTGAAGAAACAAAGCTATATTTCTACATAATTTGCAGATGATGGAGATACGTGAAGCAGTTAATGATGCCAATGATTCTCAAACCCTGGAGAAGATACAATCTCAGGTTCTGTTAAGCACAATTATGTCATGGTTGTTATTTCGAAGCATAAATACGCTTGACTGATTTCTAGGCTCGCACTATATCACCTTTATCAGATTAAGAGAAAGCTGGAAACCTGGTCCCATTCCTTCCAGGAAGCATTTGAAAGGAGGGATTTCGACCGTGCAGTGAAAGCTACACAGAGAATGAGGTATTATGAACGCGCAGTGGAAGAAACCATAAAGAAGCTCTAATTGTAAAGTGTACAGTGGCAACAGATGTGGAGGCTAGCCCATGTTCTTGGATGACCCATGTTTACTACATTGCTCTTAGGATGAAATAATGCCGGATGCTTCCTCACCACCACTCAACCAGCCAGCGCTCTCTTCACTCCATGGTTGCAATGCTGCAGGAAGGGGAAAGACATATTTCCACATTTCTCCTCGCTGTAAAAATATTTCATCACAGATATATACAGGCAGCACTAGGCAGACAATGAAATGGAAACTGATATTTGTTATTACCAAGAATTACATTCATTCTTTGCTCAATAAGTTATATGTAAAATGTGCTACACTTGAAAAGTTCAGTGGGTGCAAAGCAGTTTAAAGCATGGACAAGTTGAAGTTTAAAGCTTGTGGAGCCTAACTCTGTTAATTCAGTGAATCCTCGAGCCAACACAGTTACGTTCTTATTTCAGATTTCAGAATCCCATATGATGAGTTCAAAATATACATTACATACGTTTCATTGAGAAATGATGGATAGGTAGAAACTTTCACGGCTATGTCACAAAATTGAATACCTTACATGGTATATTGAAGCGAAAACATCATCTTAGAATGATTAATATAATAACAATATGCTGCAATTATGCAACACCGTCCTAGAACTTCGGAACCATGTAACAATATATTTGATGATTCACACCAATTACCAAGTTGAATTCCAAGAGTGCTGCAGCCATAGAAGACGCCCACCAGTCACCATTATGAATCACACGTGGCCTAGACAAGTCGTATCCATGATTAGAATCTTAGAAATTGACAAAGATCATAAGTAAAATACAAATAGCATGTACCAGTTCGGCATGGTACTTAAGTACTTAGCAGAATTTTAAATCCTTTTTTAAAAAAATCAAAATTCTCTATTCAGAGATTATCAAGATTCCACTTAGGCTTTACTGAAACACTAGTAAACTTGAACATGGAACCCATTATGAGAGCTAGAAAATTGGTAAATATCACGCTTATATCTCTGCATACTAATGAACCACAGAATCTGAAACTTAGCTACATCATTACATTACACAGCTATAGTTTAGCAAGAACTCAAAGCAATATTGTAGAAAAACAACAAACCACCAAGTCTTCAGGAATTTGTTTTTATCAAGGAAGCAGACTCTCACTTTGCAAGTTTGCATCAAGACGTAATCGTACTGTAACCCAAGCTTTAACGTTAGTTTTTATTTTTTACTGAAACATTACCTTTCTATTAAGCACGTTTTAAATGGAACTGAGGATGGTTCGGGGTCTTTGAGATAGAGCAATGCAAAGGCTTTGAACCTCTCTGTTATCTGCCATGGTCTCCTCTGGATTTTTTTTTTCTATTCTCTTCAGTTGGAGACCCTTCCTGTTGCTTTCGGCCTTGTACTAATTCTTTTGTAACGTTACCTTTTCAGTTCAAGTCATGGGCTTCCTTCTGAACAGACACAGAAACGAAGATTAAGTAGCAAGAATAGCAGCAAAACTTTGCAACTTTGGTTCAACACATAGTTTACAGTTGATGTATTGCAAGGAATCAAGCAACAACAAAGGTACTTTACTTATACCTATCAAGCCATACAACAATAGAAAAGAACTATGTGGTTCATTTGTTGCTCATACCATTTCCTAAGACTTTCATCAGTAATATGACAAATTAAGACCAGAGCATGAGGGCAGACTTCAGTGTGAGCTCTGCGATTATTAAAACGCCAGTCAGTGGCTCAGTGCTAAAATTTCTACTATCAGATTACAGTACAGGGAATCAGCATAAAAAAATTTCTTAAAAAATTTCTACTATCAGATTCCAGTACAGGGAATCAGCATCAGGAATTTCCTAAAGAAGGAATGGTCTACCCCCACATATTACAAAGACACAGCTTTGCTTATAATCTCTGAGCAGTCTTGTAAGTGAAGCAAAGTAAATAAAACCAACCCATAAAGAATAACTGTGATACAAATAGCAATACTGAAACTTGATCATGCGTACACATATTAACTGCGCGAATAGATTGATGGAAGTTACTTCAGGAGGAACTTTAATCAATTATACTGCAAATTACAAGCAAGTGAGCATATTCAAAGTAGGGTACCTACAAAACACAGACTGGTGTTGAGAGGTTCATAACTATTTGCCAAAACAGCAAATGTCAGAATTCAATGAAGCTAAAATAATGTTGTGTGCCTGCAAAGAGCATTGCATATGCGCACGCATTGAATATACTAGTCACTTCCAAATTCAAGGGAGGGATCTGCCCTCCTGAATACTGCTCAAAAACAGGACAACCTATAGAAGACTGGATTGCTGGATAGAACCATTAATAAGAAACAACATTCTGTATTGTTCATTGGGAAGAAAATGCTGGTAATCTTGTACAGCAACGTCTCATAAAAAAATAAGGTTGCACTTGCATGTGAAAAGACAGAAATGGAACAAATAGAAACATAAAGCAAGTTTTCACTCAAATCAAGATTGGTGTTGCCCTCAAAATTGTCAATCAAAGTGCAGCATGTCGAATTTGTTCAATTAAGTGTGCTTGTAATACCTTATCTTGAGCTGTCTGATTTTGATCCATGCATGACATTGCAAGGTACACATTTCTACATGCATCAAACAGTGTTTATACAGGCAGGAAGAACAGACATTAACTGCAATATGTGTCAGCAGATTGAATGACAGTGGTTCGTCAAATTCTAATCAGTAGAGTATCAACGAATACATACCCACCTCTACATCCTGGACCACGATCAGTGGAGATAGCACTGCTGCCATCGAGAGGTATCCTAGTTAGAGAAGAATGAGTGCACCAGGTTAGCTCACGTAGAGGAGGGGAATGGCAAGGGACAGGCTGCGGGTTAAGAAATCAACAGGGGCGGTATCTTTAGCGATCACAGCTAGGTTGCACTGTTGAATGAAGAATAAATGTCAAAGCAAGAGAAAGAAGGAATACCTTATAAGGTCCTCATGCAGCCAGTGTTACAACAGTTCACTGCTCTAAATTGGATAAAGTGTTCCTCTGATTACTGATCTGGGCATTCCGCATAGTGCAATAAATAATGTTTCTTGTTCAAATGCTCGTACCACATACAACTCTTGTTCCAATAAATAAGTTGAACATGGAGCACTACTCATGATAAATTTTCAACAGAGAATGTGAATTAAGCAGATGAATTGACAATAAACGAATCTGAGAAGGTCCTTCGATTCCGCAATTGCCATTTTGACTGGAGAACAGAATCAGCTAGCTTGTACTTGCCCTCCATATTCAGACCATGGACAACAGTTCTGAAGTTCACTGCACTGGGGATGATACCACTATTCAGCATGTCATGAATAAGCTGCAACCCATCCTCTGATCTACCTGCCTTACAAAGGCATGACATGAACATTGAGTAGGTCTCAAAGTCTGGCACAGGTCCCTTCAGTTTCATGCGTTGGAAGACATCCCAAGCCTCTGAAACCATACCCATTGCCATGTGACCACGGATCAATGCAGAGTAAGTGACAACAGTAGGCTCACATCCATTTTCTGTCATCTCCTTAAGTACATCCATCGCTTTGGAAACATCCCTTTTCCCCAAGTAATAGATCATGAATGAGGTATACATATGTGTGCTTTGAGCTATACCTAAATTCTTCATTTCTGCAAGCTTAGCTGAAGCATCTTCAAAGCGATCCCTCCTCAACAACGCGTGAATGAGACTCCCATACATGTATGCACTTCTTGAACATCCATAATTCTTAATATTATCGAACAAACTGAGAGCTTCGGCCATTCTATCAGACCTGCACAATGATCTAATGAGTATGGAGTAGCCAGCCTGAATAGAAAATCCATGTTTACATAATAGTACTACTGAGCTTTCAGCACGATCTATCATCCCACACTCACATAACACAGAAAGATATGTGCAAACCATTCCATTGTCAGGTATATAGCCTGCACGACACATTTCATGGAAAATCTTGACTGCAGCATCTACTTTCCTCCCTTTTCTGCGGCTGAGGTACATTATTAGGTGACTGTAAGTAGTTTTGTCAGGCTGAAAGCCACCCTGCTTCATCTGGTAGAATGTTTCAAGGGCCATTTCAGTTAGACCAGCATTTCCATACTGACAAATCATGACATTCCATGTATCCACTGTTGGGCAACACTCTGCCCATATCATCTCTCTGTAAAGATGCCTCATGTGCTTAAAATCTTTTGCAGAGCCAGCGAGTTTTATGGCTGTGTTATATGTCTTTGTTGTCTGCATGTAGTAAGATCGTTTGCCTACCCAAGAAAAAAATTGTAAAGCAGCACGACTGTTTGCCTTACAACGCTTCATAATGGCATCAACAAGATCTGGAGTAAAAGATATTGATGTCATCTCTAAAGCCTGTTCTATTGAGCTCCAGCAATCAGAAGATGACAGAATCCGACATATTTGTTCAACGTCTTCATTGTTGTAATCCTTTGCTTGTTCTAAATCCTGTGTGTCATCACAAGGAAAGCTCCCTGAGACCTCACAGTCTTTATACGAAGGATGACCAACAAACTCCACTGTCCTTTCCTTCTCTTCCGGACCAGATCCAGATGATTTTTCAAATTTATCAGTGTAGTCAACTTGATCCAATGTTCTGCGTTGCAGCTCTTCTATAGGGCTACAACAATTAAAAGATGCTCGCATCCTCTCAATATTGCTAGCTTCTTCCAAATAGTGATTGTCATACAGAGTGGAAATAATCCTGCTGAAAGTTTGCTCGGAAGGCCTGAAATCTGATTCCAGCATTTCCTTCAGAAGTTTTAGTGCTTCAAGGGGCCTGGAGGCCTTACAGAGCTCTTGGATGAACACTGTATAAGCTTTCAATGTGGGTTTCTGACCATTCTCATTGATATTCCTAAATGCATCCCATGCTTCAGATATATGTCCATTACGAACATGCCCACCTATCAGTGCTGTGATTGCCACAACATCTGGTTCAATACCATTTTCCTGCATTTCCTCATACAATCTACATGCTGCTTCATGTTGATCAAATGCAAAGAGGTGTTGCATGAGCTGAGTATAAGATGATGCCAATGGAACACATCCATATTCCCTCATTTCCTGAAGCACCTCAAGTGCCTTCATACGCTCTCCTTTCCTCAGGTAGCCATCAATGAGAGAACCAAAGGTGGCACTGCTCGCAGATGAGTTGCTTTTCATGTACTCCATAACTTGAAGAGCTTTATCCATCCTTCCATCTTTGCAAAGGCCCCTCAATAGGATTTCAAATGCAGATGAGCTAGCAATGGACTTGTTCATCATCTGCTGGAAGATTTTCTGAGCCTCTTCTATTTTTCCTGAAACACAGAAGCTCCGTAGAGCTTCCAGATAACAATACTCCTCTGGATACTTCATGCTCTTAATCATATCATCTCTGACATAAAAAACACCTTCAGCATTATCTGATCCTGCGAGACAACACAATAGAAGTCGAAAAATGTCAGATCCAACCTCCGTGTTCCTTGCCATATCTTTGTAGAACTCAAGAGCAAGCTCGGACTTTGCAGAATTGCATAAAGCATGAAGTATCGTCCTATAAACTTTACTATCTGCTGCCACATGTCTCGATTTCCCCATAGCCTGAAAGGTAGATAGCATCTTGCCAATCTGCCTTGCCTTCCCATAACTGGATATGACGATTGTCCATGTCTTGATGTCCTTCAAACACATCTCCTTATCCATCTCATCCATCAACTTCTCCATGGCCCCAAAGTTCCTCTCCTCACCCGCAATGTACAGCATTGCGTTGTACGTCTCCGTGGTGTGCTGGAATCCAGGAACTTGCCTAACCCAGTCAAAGAATTTGAACCCCAAATGCCTCTTCTTGAAGCACCTGTTGAGCACCAAGCTCACAAGCCTCGGTGTATATGTAACTCCCAGGTTCTCCAGCCTCTGTTCCACAGACAATCCAGGCACCTCTGCCCGCAAAACTTCTGTTACCCTATGCACAACCTCACTGATATTCTCAACATCTCCAGCATTTCCATCGCCCACCTCCTGGATAGATTGCTCACTGTCCGGAGCACCGCCTGTTGCAGTGCTACGAGGCCCAATCCCACCATCAGGAAGGAACCCAAGAGCGTCATTGTTCGGAACGCTACCGGTGAAAGAACCAGAAGCCGCAGCCGCTCCCTCAGGGGTAATTCGTCGAGCACCTTCCGCGCACTGCGCAGTGTCATGGCCGAGGAGGCCACACCGCTCCTGCCCATCTCGCCGAGGCTGAAACGCGGGGTCATCGCTGGCGGATGGGGCGACGAGACCGGAGAGTTCTTGGAAGAGGCACGGGCGCGGCCCGCCGCCGTCCTTGCGAGGCGGTGGGCGGCGAGGAGGCTTGCTGCTGCTGGAGGAGGAGGAGGTGGTCTTGGAGCGGGAGGGCGGATGGAGGAATGGATGGCGGCGCCGGCGTCTGGACCAAAGGGGAGAGGCGGCGGCGGCGGCGGAGGAGGAGGAGAGCAGCCTGGCGGCGGCGCTCCTCGTCGCCATGTACATTCTTCCCCGGTTTGATTTCGCGGCGAACATATCCCCGTTGTTTAACTACCGTTTTGCAGACCGGAGATGAGGAAGAAAATGGAGTGGTGTGGGCGGGGGGAGGAGCGGGTTAGTGTTACGGCTCGCCGGCGGAGAGCGGTGGCGCGCGGGTGGGAGAAGAGGCGGGGGGCGGCGGCGCCGGCGGCGGCGGACGCGACGCTCGACTCGGTAGAGGGTAGAGAGGAAGGGGAGGGCTGTGAGACGATGGATCTCCATCCGACGTCCGAAAAATTATCCGTACTTTAAAGGGTACTTTGCTCTTTCTTTTTTTTTTTTTTTTTGAGAAACAGGGTAACTTTACTCTCATATGGATAGGATATATGCCACTATTACTTTACATTCTGATGGCTAGGTTAGTCCAAGATTATCTAAATTCGATGTTTCTGTTTGGTTACTGTAGAACGTTGGACCTTTCGAATGCGTTGAACAACCACATCACGAGGTGATCGCCGGCCTTAGGCTGAGGATGAAGGGCAATTGGAGATAGAGGTTGAGATAGATACCTTACATGTGGATCCAGATGTATTTCAAAATTTTTTATGTGTTTTTTTTCTTTTATTCAACTAGAAATGAATATTATAATAATGACGTGTTCATAAGCTAATTTTTACATTTACCGGGCCTGCAGAGGCTTAATAACCATATGTTTCAATTGAAATTGATGTTCTGACATGTTTATGATCTTTAGATTATGCTTTTTGAATTTCACTCTTCCTGCTCCACCACTAGAACAAGCTGTTTTTTTTTCTCAATTCCGACAAGTGTTCGATGGTAATCGTAAAGTTTCATGACGGGGATGTGAACATGCGTTCTTAGATTATATTTTTCTATTTAGTAAGAAAAAATGAATTATTGCAACGATATTTTACTTAACCAGATCGCCATTATAATATACAGGTGAATGAGCTTATTTGATATACCATTAGTTGTCATTGATTGCAAACAATTCCTACTTGTTTAATAGCAGAATATATCTAAGGGCTTATTTAGATCCCCTAGCAAGTTTTTTCACCCTATCATACTAAATATTTGGACACATGTATAAGGTATTAAATATAGAAAAAAAAAACTAATTATACAGATTACGTGTAAATTGCGAGACGAATCTTTTAAGCCTAGTTGCTCCATAATTTGATAATGTGGTGCTACAGTAAACATTTACTAATGATAAATTAATTAGGCTTAATAAATTCGTCTCGCAGTTTACATGCGAAATCTATAATTTGTTTTGTTATTAGACTATGTTTAATAGTTCAAATGTATATCCGTATATTCAATGTGACACCTTAAAAATTTTTTTTGCCCCTCGATCTAAAAACAGTCTTAAAAAAGAGTATTAGGTCGATGCTACCTTTCCTGACGTGCTTGTCAGACAGTGCATATCAAAGAACAAACAGTGGTAAAAAAACAGTGGCTGTGAATATCCGTTCCAAATATATAACCCTTATGTATTAATCAATTACTTTTTAGAAAATAAGGTCTCATTTATATTTTTCACTGGCCCCAAAATTGTTAGGACGGCTCTGACGTTTACAGAGTGTCCATGAAGTCATAATATCTTATAGCAAAAAATTTTGAAAAAAATGTTTGGGGGACGTTTCTCCACCAAATCTGGCTTTTTTTATTATTTGATTCTTATTGCTTGCCTCATGCTTGAATTCAACCATGCACTCTTTTGCTACTCTAATGGAGTGTCCTCTTCGCCATCGTGTTCTAAATTAAGCTGCTATAAGACGGTATGTATCCCCCATGAAAGAAGTTCAAATCGAAGAGCATCTTTAATAGAGTGGTCATTTTTAGCTCTCCAAATACCTATTTGGCCAACCTAACAAAAGTTTAGAGAGTCAAATTTGCATTCTATTCCAACAGACTCTCCGCATTATACTCTCTATTAACCAATGGACCCCACCAGTCATTCTCATCCCCCTTTCTTCTTCCTTCCCCTCTCTCCAATCCTCTTTCTCGTCGAGCCGCCCCGCCGCCGCTTCCTCCCTCCCTCGCCACACTAGGAGGGCGCCTCGGCGGCATCGGCGCCTTGCTCGAGGCGGAGCTCCGGCGTGGGTTCAAGACGCTCGCCGTGACGCCGCCCGACCCGTCCACGGTGGTTTACAAGGTCCGCCTCAACCGCTCCGCCCAGCTCAACGCCCTCAGCCCGGACGCCTTCGCGGAGATCCCACGCGCCATGGCGCTCCTCGACCGCATCCTAGCCGCGCATGCCGTCGTGCTCTCCCCTGCCGGCCCGCACTGCCCCGGGAACCCCGCCATGGCCCCTCCTCACCGGGCGGCGGCGACCCCGCGCCTGCGGCTGGTGGGCTCCGCTGCGCCATCCTGGAGATGCAGGTAGCGCTCACAGCCATCGAGCGGTGCCGGAAGCTGGTGGTTGCAGCGGTGCACGGCGGCGGCGTCGAGGTCGTGGCCGCCTGCGCCGTCCTGGAGAAGAGCCGAAGGAGATGGAGGTGGAATGTGTATGAGGCCCATGGTTGGCTAGTGATTTTTAGCTTCCTAATTTGACTAGTGGAGGGAGGGTGAGAGTTTTGGCTAGCCGGATGGCTTAGCCATCCAGTTGGAGAGGATGTTGAAAGACGTCTTTTGGCTAGAATAGCTAAAATTTAGCTTAGAGAGTCACTTGGAGAGGTTGTTGGAGATGCTCTGAGACAACATAAAGAAGCTTGCTACTTAAAAGAAGAGCACCAAGCACACCCAGCCTACATACATAATGAAGTAACTTAATAGAATTCCTACTAAACATCAGGAAGTAACACCATACGAGGAATGGGAAAGGAAGAAATTAAATCTCTCTCACCTGCGCACATGGGGTTGTTTGCCCAAGGTAAATGTACATATAGTCAAAAAGCGTAAACTTGAACAAAAAACCGTAGATTGTGTGTTCCTTGGTTATGCTATCCACAGTGTGTGATATAGGTTCTTAATAGAAAATTCTGGAGTACCCGACATGCGTGTTGGTACAATTACTGAGTCCATAGATGCCACATTTTTTGAGAATGAATTTCCTATGAAAAATGCACCTAGCACTTCTAGCCAAGAACCTATTTTATCCCCTGAACACTTTGTGCCGATAGAACACATTGATCAAACGCTTGAGGAAAATCCTGAGGAGGATAACATTGTAGCCACTCGAAAGAATAAGAGAGAAAGGACTGCAAAGTCTTTTGGAGATGACTACATTGCATATCTTGTGGATGATACTCCAAGAACCATTGAAGAGGCATATTCTTCTCTTGACGCTGATTAAGTGACAATTGGAAGGAAGTGGTACGCAGGGAGATGGACTCAATTATGTCTAATGGTACTTGGGAAGTCATCGAGCGTCCATATGGGTGCAAGCATGTAGGATGCAAATGGGTTTTCAAGAAAAAACTTAGGCCTGATGGTACAATTAAAAAGTACAAGGCAAGACTTGTGGCCAAGGGTTATACCCAAAAAGAAGGCGAGGACTTTTTCGACACTTATTCATCGGTTGCTCGCTTGACTATGATTCGAGTACTACTCACTCTGGCAGCCTCTCATGGTCTAGTCATCCATCAGATGGATGTTAAGACAACTTTCCTCAATGGAGAGTTGGAGGAGGAGATCTATATGGATCAACCAGATGGGTATGTACTAGAAGGTCAAGAGGGAATGGTGTGCAAGCTGTTGAAGTCATTGTATAGTCTCAAACAAGCGCCTAAGCAATGGCATGAGAAGTTTGACGATACACTTATATCCGCTGGCTTTGTTGTGAATGAAGTTGGCAAATGTGTGTACTATCGCTATGGTGGGGGAGAGGGAGTGATCTTGTGTTTATATGTCGATGTCATATTGATCTTTGGGACCAGCCTCATTGTGATTGAGGAGGTCAAGGACTTTCTGTCCAAAAGCTTTGAAATGAAGGATTTGGGAGTGACTGATGTTATTCTTAACATTAAACTACTGAGAGGAGATGAGGGTGGGATTACACTTGTGCAATCTCATTATGTGGACAAGGTCCTGAGTCGCTTTGGTTATAGTGACTGCAAGGTAGCTCTTACTCCTCATAATTCTAGTGTGCTATTAAGAAAAAATTGAAGAATAGCAAGGTATCAATTGAGATACTCCCAGATCATTGGTTCATTGATGTACTTAGCTAGTGCAACGAGGCCTGACATCTCATTTGCTGTGAGCAAGTTGAGCCGGTTTGTTTTAAATCCGGGAGATGATCATTGGCATGCTCTTGAAAGAGTAATGCGCTATCTAAAAAGGACAATGAGCTATGGAATTCACTACGCTGGGTACCCAAAAGTACTGGAGGGCTATAGTGATTCAAACTGGATATCTGATGCTGATGAGATAAAGGCCACAAGTGGGTATGTGTTCACACTTGGAGGGGGCGCTGTTTCCTGGAAGACTTGCAAGCAGACCATCTTAATGAGACAATGGAATCAGAACTCACAACTTTAGATATTGCCACAGTTGAGGCCGAATGGCTTCGTGAGCTCCTGATGGACTTGCCGGTGGTTAAAAATTTCAGTACCAGTAATCCTGATGAACTGTGATAATTAAACAGTGATTATTAAAGTGAACAGTTCGAAGGACAATATGAAGTCATCCAGGCATGTTAAAAGAAGACTGAAGTATGTTAGAAAGAGGAAAAACTCCGGAGTGATAGCATTTGACTATACCCTGACGGCTAAAAATCTGGCAGATCAGTTTATCAAGGGGCTACCACATAATGTGATAGACTGTGCATCGAGGGAGATAGGCTTGAGACCCACTTAGAGATGCACAATGGTGGTAACCTGTCCATTATGATCGGAGATCCCGTGAATTTGGATGGCAAAACAAACTATTGGGTAACTGAGAGAAGAGACCCTCAAAATGAGTTTATCTTCATGATGTACTTCTCTTCTATTCTGTATGGTACGATGGTATACACCTTAATGTGATCCGAGTGGCTTTTCATAAAGCAGAGATGTCATCCTACAGAATATCTTAGAAGGAACACACCTATATGAGTCCAATTGCTAGTTATAGTCTATGAGATCTGGGTAATCTCTAGATACTCATGAAAAGTCCAGGAGTATGACTTATATGATCCAAACAGAGGGGATGCAAACGGCAGCCCAGTACCAGTTAAGGGTTTGAGTGAAACCTGAATCGCACAAGACTGACAATTCAATGCATAGTCCATTGTTCAGTTGTGATATGGTGTAGCTCTTTTCCTAGGTG